TTGCAGGGACCACTTGGGAGCCATGGCCGATGCATCCACCTGTCATTCTTGTTCTGACATCGTTCAAATGGTTTCAATAGATAAATCAGCAATCTGCTCTTACATGAATGATAATTCTAATGATCATGGTAGCCTTGAAGGGTTTGTGAGTAACTATACATACACGATGCTCAGCTGAATGTGTTATTTCAGTGCTGCTATACATTATGCGGGGGAAATAACAGCATATTACACAATTACTGTGACATCCACTAAAATGTGAACTAGTTTGCATAGGTTAATCCTTTGGGCAGCGCGATGTTGCTCTAGTCCACCAAGGCTTAAAGATTCACAGTGTAGAGGAAAAAATATGAATTAAAGCATTTCTACTAAAATATATTTTAATAGCTGGTGTTAACAATTTGCATAACAAAAGCCAAATTATATTAATAACGTATAATTCTGTAAGCTCCTTCATTTTAAAACATGAAGTGTTCTCTATAAAACTGTAGGCTCTCAAAGTTAGTACAATCTTGCAAATTAATCATCAACCACAATTCTACATATTTTGAAGCAAATAGAAACCAATCTGCACAAGGATTCAAGTTCATGTTTTAATCACAGGTCAAAGAGCAAAGATTCCACACCCTGCCTGTAATACACTTGGTGCTACTTATAAATGCTCAGCCGTTCATTGTATGAACACTAAAGAAGGGAACTATGATGTAGTTTTCTCTTTTCCTTTAAAGTAAATCATTCTTAACAGCAACTAGATTACAAAGAAGTGTATACTATGCAAATTGAATACCATATATCAAACACAAAAAGCATATGGAATTCCCATGAAGATACTGAAGTAAAAAGGACAACTGGGGCGTAGATTTGCCCCAGGGGTCCTTCCAGGCTTGTGGATCCAAGCATCAGGAAATGATGGCCACAGAAGCATCATACAATGTCTTGATTTTCTTGAATCAGTGCTAGTGGATAATTGCCTGGAAAGAACCTTTAATGAGTGTGGAATACTTCAAAAAGAGACTTTCATTTTAGCATTCTTCACTTGGTTTACAGAGCTTCTTAGTAACTAAAGCTTTCTCACCTCCATGTCAAGTTACCACAAACAACCATACTCTAACCACTTTCAGATTATCAGAAGCAAATAGCTAAGGTATAATGGACTTATGAAGTGAATTTCAATTGGTGTAATGAATTCAGCCTCATAACATAATTCTTCTAACTTACAATAGGTATTTTAAATCTCAAACCTAAAGTTTATGTTTATGCATCTCAACCATATATAAATTCACAAAGAATCTTTCAGAAATAGACGAAAGAAGTTGGTATTTTCTAAAGTTCTAAACCTCTAGAGGTAAAATACAATCAGTTATCACCTTTCCTAACCATCAGGAGCATCTCACTTCCCCACCATAAAAATACCAATAATCATACAATAAAATATTACTATAGAATAGGCAGAAGCTTGCTTGCCTGGTTTTCTTTCCAAGACCATAATGAATAAACAAGGGTAATCAAAAAGGCACTGATATTTTTTATCTCTATATAATTATAATTTTGGTATAAACTATATCCACTTTATATAGAGGGTGTTATTAAAGGATCACACACAATTTCTTTAATCTTTTCATTAAAAAACATTCCACTGGAGATGGGCAAACCTGAAGAAAAGATGCGCCTCTTAAGTTTCCACTGTGTGTTTAGGGAAATCTTCTTCCCAAATCCCAGAGTGTTGTCGAGCTCAATACAGACAAGATAAGGAAAGAAAGACTGTAGCGAGACTGGCAAAACTATATGTTCACCATCCTCAAGTAATGAACCTGGCGGCAAGAGAGGGACTGGTCTAATCGCATCCACATTCATAAAAGGCGCTCCTGGGAACTGTGCTTGCAAATTTCTGTGTGGTCTCTGAGGTGGGGGAAGCCTGAGAAGATGCAGGGACAGTGTGGAGATCTGACAACTGGATAATTATTTCCAAGTGGGCTACACTGTGGATGTGTAAACAATAAAAAGGAGACATGAAGACGTGCCTTGTCACAGGTTAGAAATAGAAAGCTTTCCCAGAGAACAAGAATTAGTAAAAATGCTCACTTCAAAAACTTACACCACAAGCGATGTATTCGGTTGTTATGCTCTGCTCAAGAAAGAGATGATCCCATCTCAGTTCTGTTTTCGGAACCTTTTAAAAGCATATCAACTGCCCTTGTGCTTTGATCAGGTTTGAGAACACATCACAATTAGAAAATCAGGTGCATGCTCTCTGTGCTCGGGCATTTACAGCCCTCTTTAACTTGATTCTTAAAAGACTTGTTTTTTTTAAAACCCTTCTTGAGCTGTCATATTATGTAGGATATAACTGTTGCCAAATTGAAAACAAGAGGGGGGACGTGTGGAAAGGGGAAAAGGTGTTCGAGAATGTAGTCTTGAAAATGATGCTGTAAAAATAGCACTTTGGTTTTATACATATATTTTTTTCTGTATTTCTGCTGAGATGCTTAATATCCTGACAGGCTTTAATAACAGTGACAACACCATCAAATTATAGCATCAGGAGTGTGTGCAACTTGTTGTCCCTCAGTCTTTATTGTAAAATAACTGCCCTCTAGTTAAATTCTGATCAGTTCTTATGCAAACATTATGTGAAGCTTAAAATTTGGGGAAAATTACTCCCCAAATAAGTATTGACTTTTACATTCAGTGAATCTGATTTTGAAATAAGTGGAAGAGAAAAACAATGAAACATTAAGCTGTTACTTTATGCCTACTTCCCCATTATAATCATCATTTCAAATTGGTTTCCTTTGAGCTTCCTATAAATGTGCTACTTATCAAAAAGTGTACCCATCCCACATTGAGTTTGCAGATTTAATCAACAACTACTCTCTTATAATCACAAAAAGTAGTCTGTCTGGGTGAATCATAAATATTTATTTAATGGTATAATAAAACTAAGCAAGCTTGTTGCCCTCAGTTTTAATGGAAAAGAATTTTTGAAAGAATATTCCAAGTTCTGCTTGTTTTCGTAGGTTTGTGTATAAGACACCAAAACCAGTATGCGGTTTAATCAATTGAATTGCAACTGATCATTTCAGTGACAGAAAATCAGGCAAGCTGATTATGTGGTGATCTGCAAAACCCCCTCAAATAACCTCTAGCCATTTTCCTGAATTTTTCTCTTCTCAGTTTTACATCAGTGTCATATAGTATGTCGCTTGAGTGTAATAAAGCTTATCTAATTACTCTTTTAGCCTGATAAAAATGAGACTACAGATTTCAAAACTATGTGCTTACTTTTCAAAGGTGTAAATGAATTAATATTTGTCTTTGGACTAATAAATATTTCAAGAAAAGATGTTTTACAGCTTATTTTGTTAATTTCTTTGAATGTATCATTAAGGCAGATATCCCCATGGCCCATATATTTGATTACATGTTTATAATTACATTTTGCTTTTTCAGTTTCATCACAGCTGTAAAGTCAGACCCTACATGACTGCTACCCTGTTGCAAGTCTCACTAATGGCACAACCAGAAAAACCCAGAGTTGCTGATGGGCGTGAACCTCTCCAGTGATCTCTACTGTGGACTCCAGGTAAAAACTTCATAACGTGATGGTCATCGCTGCGAATCCAGCAAGAGCCTGCAAAGTCACTCATTGGAAAATTAAAATGTGACAACGATTTCTTTTTTAATGAACAACTTGTCAAATCTCTGGTGACATCCCCCTCTCAGTTCCAAATGTGACTTAGAAAATAAAAACCAGAAAGTGGAAAGGAAATCTTTTCATTAAGCAATTTCAGTAGCTAGATTTCCATCCAAGAATCTGAATACTGTTTTCCCAAATAAGAAACCAGATCACCTGTCTCTCTGTGTGTGCAGCTGGTTATCTTCTGTTCATTGGTTTCTCCCAGCACACTTCATATTCCAGCTTTGTCACTGGCTTCTAGGAAGTTTTCTTAACTTTTAAGTCAACAGTGGCATTAAGTTAATGAAGCTGTTCAATAAATGCCTAAATCACTTATTTGCTAGTGTATACATCTATTTCCTAAGGTGTAAATCCTTCAAAACTAGAGTGCAATGCGGCAGGAGAATCTCAAGCAACTTTTCAAGTTATGCTTTTCTGATGAGCTGGCATCTAGAGGGTAGGGCTTTTAGGTATTGGCCACACTTTTTGTTTGAATAACAGGAACAGGGCAGTGCAGCTGCCTATGTTACAGAAGCTTGAACCTACATGACATGCAACAGGGTAAAGGCTATTAGTATTAGGGAAATAACATACATGACCTTAAATTTTGCCCTTTGCAGAGTAGCTGTGAAGTTATTTGGTCCTGACATTCTATGGAGCCAAGCGTGTACTTAGGTTCATAGAATGTAAATGGAGAATAGGATATGTCTTGGTACAAATGAGAAATAAATAGACCCAAGTCGGCCCAGGGAACAAGGAAATTTCTTTGTTCATTGAAAGTTTCTAGATCCCTAAGGCCACTAGTCAGTATAATTTTAACAGAACTGTCAGTCTTCCACTGCTTACATTTATTATATTTAGGCAATTTTCACTTGAATTGGAAATTGCCTTGTGACTCGAAAGCTAAATGGTTTTTAAATTATCAGCTGTGTTATTGAATTAAGAGGACTGGCTTCTGGTGATTCCAAAGTGACAGCTAAGAAGTTTCATATATTTGTGACATTTGAGGGACAATCAACATCTCTATTAAAGTTTACAAAAATATGTTTTCCCAGAAGGGTTCAGTAGCCAATCAAAGGAAACCATTAACACAACTAGCAGCACCAGGTCTCCAGACCTGATTGTTTATATCCATTACCAAAAATGCTGCTGTTTTTCAGCCCAGAAGTCATTCCTTCTTCCTGGTACCTGCGTGTCTAATTGTCAAAGGAAGGATAGATTATTGTAAAATAACTGCCAAGTTGTCTTAAAAGTATCTTCTATCTTTTAAAAAGATTGGGTTTAGTATACATTAGAACAAAGCTCAAAGGGCAAGGAGAAATGATTAATTAACAAACTCAATATAATTCGCTGGAAGCATCCCGGTTTTTCCAGTTCTCTGCACCGTGCCGTACATCCAGCCGTCATCAATGGGCTGCACATTGACGATGTAGTCACCATCTCTGAAGGAGACTTCATCTTCATCCTGGGCGCTGTAATCGTACATGGCTCGGTAGGTCCTCTGAGAAAGGAAAGATGGGGTCACACGATGGACAGCAAGACAGTCATGGCTACAAATGCCAACCGCGACAAACCAGCCCACACATAAAGGAACTACCAGGAACCCTTCCGAGCACATCTATTTCTGGAGCCTACTGTCTATCCTGATTGTGTTCATTTCAAGGTTACTAGTCTGGCAAAAGGGGTAATATTGTGGACCAGAGCAAGCCACTAAATACAACAGCTAGCTGTCAAAAAGTAAGCTTTGAGCACTTGGAACTCTCTGCTCCATATTATGTGACAGCCTGGATAGAGGGTGGACAGTTTGGGGGGGGTATGTATGACTGAATCCTTCTGTGGCTCACCAGAAACTATCACAACATTGTTTGTTAATTGGTTATACCCCAATACAAAATAAAAGGCTTTTTTAAAAAAGTAAGCTTTGAAGCAGTAAAGCCACTCCCTCAGTTTCAGATAAGCCCAGAGACCTTAAGATTATGTAGATTCTCCCCTAGTCCACATTCTTCAGAGAACAAAACTCACCATAGTGGCAGACAGGCCCAAGTCACTGCCAAGTCATTACAACCATTGGTCCCCTGGCAGAGGTGATGAACTTTACTAAAAAAATTTGTTTCTACTTTAAAATATTTTTAAAAAATAAAAAGAAAAAAATCCATAATATACTCAATAGGACTTTGTATCACATGATAGGAGACATTTAGCATATGAATGTCATGAATATTGAGGTACATATAATTAAGTCCTTGTTATAATGAGTTGAGTTTTACTATATTTGTTTTCATTTGAGGCCAAGAATTTAGCTAATAATATCAGACAACCTCAAAATCAAGTGCATTAGTAGACTGAGAAAATTGACTGAGATGCAAGAATTTTAGAGTGATTAAAGATTCCTTACCACCCATTAAAGGGAATAAGTCATAGACATGTGACATATAGCACAGGGAAATAGTCAATAATATTATAATAATTCTGTATGGTACACAATCTATAAGAATACCAAATCACTATGTTGTATACCTGAAACTAATGTAAAAAAAATGAATTTTTTTATGTAAAAAATGAACCATATTCAATCCAACTGTATTCCATGTGCTTTTATATTCTGGAGATAAACTGTGAAGACCAGGAAAGGAGGAGCACTTCAGTCAGGCACTTACTAGATTTGGTGAATGCTGCATTGACCTCACAGATGACAGGCTGGTCTGGTGCATGTACCCATAGCCTTGAGAATGGCTTTGCTGGTAGGCTCCAGGAAGAACAGGTGCTGGACATCAAACAGACACACACACACACAAAGAATCCTTAAAATGAGCTTCAGAGTACCCATCCCAAGCCCTCAAGTAACCCCATGCTCAGCTAGACAATTCTGGAGCAAAACGCCATTTTCAGTGTCATGTGAAATGTGAGCAGTGACGTTATAAGTGACCTCTAGGGTACTATAAATTTCAGTCATTAAGGGAATATATAGGTAATCAGTGTAACATGCAATCAAATACGTGTTAGAAATGCTTATAATGCTCTATTGCAGATGCTATATATTAAAACAACACAAATAACAAAAATTCCCATAATCTCTTAAAAAATTCATGTTTTCACTTGGCTGTTTGATCCCTGTAGGCATTTTCAAAAATAAAAATAAGAAATTTAAAGGATTTTGCAGCAAAGACTTACTGTATAGCATAGGGAACTACACTCTATAATAATCTAGAAAGGAAAAGAATCTGAAAAAGAAATAGATTTACATGTATAACTGAATCACTGTGATGTAAATTTGAAACTAACACAACATTGTAAATCAGCTATATGTCAATTAAAAAAAAAAAGAAATTTAAAGGAATTTAATTGGATTGTCAGACCAGTGACAGGATATAAGTGTTTTCACAAAATATTGAATACTTAACAATAGACACTTTCAGTATTTTGAGACATACTGCTGAATGTTACCTTTACAAAGATGGGAGGCATAGCATATGTTTAGAAACAAATGTTTGTTAAGCAGTTAATAATAAGTCTGTACCTTTTAAAGAAAATTTTATTTAGAATATATGGATCATATATATGAATCATATAAGAATCATTTTATTTTGGCTATAAGTCAGTTGAATAAAGTTACAAAACCTTAGGAACCAAACCACTTAAAGAATTTCATAAACATTAAACCTCTACATTAAAAAAAAGAGAGTATTCACTTAGTTTGTACTAGTCTCACACTAATTAATGATATTCAAAAGACATAGTTCCTGTTTTGAAGAAAACAGAATTCTAGAGAAACTAATAGAGAAGCTAGACAAAACCCCACAAAAATCAGTAGTGTGTATTTATAACCAGAATCACGGGCTATACATGAAGGTATTTTAGTAGGCATTCCCTTCATCATAGGACTTGTATGATACAAGTCCTATAAAAACCCACAATAGATTGTCCTGTTTGTTCAATCAGGCTGAGTATATAACATAATTATAATGGTTGATTTACTTAGGACATTATAATAAAAGAATAAAGCAGATGCAATTCTTGGGTATTAATAATTACTATTTTATAAGTGCACACTCATTCTAATGATATATGAGAATATCAAACTTTAAAGAAGTTTAATCATCAGAAAGTAACAAATCATTACTGTATTCTCCATATAATAGTGATATTAGGTTAAATGGAAATTTTTAAAGTAGTTCTTGAATTAATTCATATTATAATGTTGTAATTGCATTTATTTAATGTCTTTCTAGAGAAAGCACTTAACTTGGATTGCAGTATATTTTAAAGTTATTAAACATCAAATACTTCAGAAAACAGCACTTTTTAACATTATCAACTCAATTTAAATGTTTAATGTTAATAGACGTCAAGGATGTTGTCAAAATTCACTCATGAAAAAAAAACAATTTCCATAAATACCTAGACCTAATTAATTAGCCGAGTAAAAAAGCTTTTCCTTGTGTTGGAAGCAGAAAGCACTGACCACTCATTTATTTTCTCCCTTGACTATCAGCAAATATTTAAAAGACTTCATGTGTGCATATAGCTGGCTCCCCTTCCTGTCACTTGGATGTGAACAATTCTCACTGTCCACTACATTCAAAGCATGCAGGCATTAGAAGAGTGACAAAACCAGTTGTCTTCCTATAGCTGTAATGGTCTTGGACACTTATCCTTTGTCCAATTAAAGAAATGGCTCAGGATACTTACAGCATTTCCTTAAATACATATTAATCAGTGACTCCAACTGCATCCCCAGGCTAGCACTTCTGGACTAGGTTTTCATCCATTTAAACAAGTCATTTCTTCATTATTATCTTGATCTATGTGTGAATACTTAAGATTAAATAAGTAACCCTTTAAAATTAACTAAAATTAAAAATTAAACTCTCGATCCTTTGTCACACTATTTAACTATGACCTTTAAATTTTGATGTACAAGAGTCAAGCACCATCATCTTAAAATATTTGGGGAAAAAAATCAAGAAAGGACAATGATGAAAAAACTCTTAAATATGCTATCTGATAGGCTGTAACACATTTAAATTTACACAGGTTTAGCACCCATCAGTACTGACAACTCAAGAAATGTTGTTTAAAAGTATTCTCTAGATACAGAACCATAATTTGAAAAGATACATGTACTCCAGTGTTCACTGCAGCACTATTTACAATAGCCAAGATATGGAAGCCGCCTAAATGCCGATCAACAAAGGAATGGACAAAGAAGATGTGGCACATATATACAATGGGCTATCATCCAGCCATAAAGATGGAATTGTGCCACCCTCAGAGGTGTAGATGGATGAGAGACTGTCATAAAGAGTGATGTTCAGTCATAAAGAGAAAAACAAATATCATATATTAACATACAAATGAGGACTTTAGAAAGGTGGTACAGATGGATTTATTTCCAGAACAGAAACAGAGTCAAAGATGTAGAAAACAAACTTACGATTACCAAAGCCGGAAGGAGAGAAGACTAAATTAAGAGATCGGGATTAACACATACACACGATCACATATAAAACTGATAATAAAGACCTATTGTGTAGATCAGGGAACTCTACTCAATATTCTTTAATAGTCTATATGAGAAAAGGTCTCAAATCTAAAAAAGAATGAATATATGCATAACTGATTTACTTTGTTGTACACCTAAAACTAACACAACATTGTAAGCTAACTATACTCCAATAAAAATTATTTTAAAAAGTGTTCTCTAGTTTTGGCATTTAAAAATGAAGTAAATTTGCTGCTGCTAAGTCACTTCAGTCGTGTCCGACTCTGTGCGACCCCTTAGACAGCAGCCCACCAGGCTCCCCCGTCCCTGGGATTCTCCAGGCAAGAACACTGGAGTGGGTTGCCATTTCCTTCTCCAATGCGCGAAAGTGAAAAGTGAAAGTGAAGTCGCTCAGTCATGTCCGACTCTTAGCGACCCATGGACTGCAGCCCACCAGGCTCCTCCATCCATGGGATTATCCAGGTAAGAGTACTGGAGTGGGGTGCCATTGCCTTCTCCAGAAGTAAATTTATGGCTACTCAATTGTTCAAATCTGACCTCCAAAAGGAATCTGTAGCTACTGTGAAATACAGAGGAAGAAGAAAGTATTTATCTTAAACATGCACAGATTGGAAAGAACAGAAGAGTTTAGAATGAGAAATCTCAGAGTAAATACAAACTATCTTATCCTTATCGTCTCTTCTCACTCCTTTATTGATTATTTTCATCTCCCTCTCTGGCTATATTATTTAACACAAGTCCTTTTGGGGTTATCAAACTTGTTATCTACCTTATACTTGGTTACAATAAAAGAATTTTTAGGAAGATCCTATTAGGACTATAAAAAATATAACAGAGCTCAGAGGAAGCAACTTACTAAAAGCAAATGCCTATTTAAAAGCAGGCACAAACAATGCTTTTTTATTGTTTTGCTACATGAATGTTTTTTATGAAACATAGGAGGAACAAGCAAAAGGAAATTTCAAGCAGTTGCTCTGGAAATTGGGTTTATTCCTTAATAAAATTTGAGCAAAAGATGAGTATGAGATATTGTTCATGAAAATAGGGAATTCAATCAGTTTCGCAAAAGCAAGATATTAGGCTAATTTTGCAATGAACAAGAATTTCTTAAGAAAGAGAAGAGCACACAGTGCCTTCCTTATTACACTAGTGGTCAGTCCCCACACACATTGGTACAGATGATGGGAAAGACTCTTGATGCTTGACCTCAAGAGTTTTGAGGTTAAGCGGTTTCTATTTCAAAATAATAAAGGCCCCAAAACAACAGCTTTCATTATATTAAGGCAACCACAAAACATGAAAGTGTGACTCAACTTCCATTTCACATTGATAAACCAGAGATTGACCAGAGATCTGGAAGCTGACTAAAGCTCTGCAGATTTGGGGCTCTATTTGAATGTCCTGTAATATTTATAAGGGTTTCCCAGGTGGCACTAGTGGTAAAGAACACACCTGCCAATCAAGAGACATAAGAGAGATCGGGAGGGTCCCCTAAGGAGGACATGACAATCTACTCCAGTGTTCTTGCCTGGGAAATTCCATGAACAGAGGAGACTGGAGGACAACAGTCCATGGGGTTGCAAAGAGTCAGACAAGACTGAAGCAAATTAGCATGAATGCGTGCATAGTATTTATAAAATCGAAATTTCTCTTCTAGTGCCCAATAAATTCTTCCATAAACAGCCAATACTAATATTTTCTATGTAATGTCTAGTCTTACAATGGAAGGAAAGAAAATCAAGGTAAAGAAGTAGGAAGATCATAAAACAGAAGGTGAAAATGTATGAATAAAAATCTTCAGAAATCTGAAACTAGAAAAATAGGGAAATTACATGCAAACACATGAAGATTAGAGTAAATGAACCCAAAAAATTTAATGAAGAAAAAGTAGAATTACCTCAATTAGCAGTAGAAAAAGCACACCCAAAAATGTCCCATCTGGGGTAGGTACCCAGAGCAAGCAGCAGAAGAAAAGGATTATTATGGAGGTACCTTCCATATGCCTGGTGCTTTATATATTGCCCCTTAGCAAAACAGAACAGCCCTCTATTACAGGTGTCATTGTATTTCCACTTGATAGAATAAAAATCCAGAGGCTGGGAGGTTAACCAGGAAGGCATCATAACAACCATCTCTGCACAGTGACCACAATAAAAGCCTCAGATCCTTAGAGACAGAGCAGAGGTTTTGACAGCCTCACAATGACTATAGAGTAATAGTAGATATCCAAATTTCAAGTGCAGAACATAAAAATAAATATC